TGCCTAGTTGGCACTGATGAAGATTCTCTCCTTGACCAAACTCTAGCCTGGCTCGGAGCCTTCTTCTTGAACGGGCCTCAAACATGGCCTCTCAAAACCACAGACGCTCAGTACAAATGATTTCATCCACCCCAACCTACCCTAACATTAAAAGACTTGAACAAACACTAACATAATTTTTAACAGCTCTAGGCAGCATCCCTAGCATGATGACCCATTCCCCTGAAGTTCCTGTCTGGGAAAGCGCAAGGCTGCCAAAGGAATTTACTGTTTGTTCCAGCCAACACCTGAAGATACAGCCCGTTTCCCGGTCTCCGTGGGAGGACAGACGTCAAACTTTGATAAGCACCACTTGTCAAACTCAGGAGAGTTTCCCATGAACCAACACCCCCCACACCCATCCTACTTTTTAAAAATTTCCATTTGCCCGACTCTGCTCATGCCCAGGCCATTCGCATCCCCACTCCCCCATTCTCCCTTTAAAACATCCCGCTGCCTCTGCACAAACCCAAATTGAGTTCAGTTCATGCTGGACCCTCTCCTCTATTGCAGTAGTTTATCACTGATGAAAATCTATCCTAACCACTTTAATTAGTGTCTGGCTTTGTTTGTCTTTGGCAGTATTTTTTTTTAAATACTGAGGGTGCCAAAGAAATGTATACACATTTTAAGAAAGGAAAAAAAAAAAAACTATTAAAATTGTAATACTCAATATATACCGATAACAAAAGATGAATACAAGTCACGTTTGACTTCTGTAACTACAAGAGGTGCTCAAAGTGGTTCCCATCAGCATCCAGATACTTCTGATGATGGTGAACTACTGCTTGGGCAACGTTGACTGAAGTGTCCACTTGTAGACATTTTTGTCCCCTCTCTCCGCCCTGAAAATACTTGATATCCTGGTGGGTCTGTTTCCTGAGGTCACTGTGGCACTTAGCAGGGTAGGGGGACTGTCTTCAGGAAAAGGTCAGTGGACCAGAGGAGGACATAAATGGACCAAGCAATGGTTGGAGGAAAGTATGGCTCAAATAAAGGCTTTAGGGATAACATGCTTTAACAAAAGACTATTACTAATACAGCAAACATCTGGATCTTCAGTTAAACAGTTTTGAAGAAATATTCTTCGTGGTAAGGATTTTTTAACTAGAGGATTGCTCTGCTCCCATAAACTTATTTTGTTGCCTTCTCTCTTTTCTGCTCAAAAATACATTGTCTCCTAAGTCTTTCATTTGTTTCTACCTATAAAAAAGCTGTAACTCATGCAAATTAGTCCCATGAGTTTCTATACATGAGAAAACGTTACTGTAAAAAAATGTATTCTATTATTTGATTTAGGAGTATGACTTCATTCATACAACAGGAGTTTCTTTGTTTATTCTTTAGCCGTGTCCTGGCCTTTCACATTTGTTTCTTTGACAGTGATACAGGCAGTTTTATAAATTCACCATATGCCTCAAGGGTCCAGAAAGCAAACTTAGGTTAAGACAATTAAATAAAACAGACAGTTGAGATAATAAATTTACTTAGATCCATTCACTTAGCATCAATGCTTAACACATTCCTAAAGCAAGCAGATATCAAATTTAAAAGAGTCTTAATTGGGTTCAATAATTCGATAAACGGTCAAACAGTGCTCACTGCATATGCTTTGGGGCATGCATTTCATTCCTTACTGATCGGCTTTACCGAATTAACATATGAATTTTTTGTTTTTGATAGGAACAAGGCGGATAATTGTAGGAAGGAGCAGTGGTGGGGAAGACGCAAGATGCCTGGCAGCTGCACAGAACACAGAGCAGGTGATGACGCACAACGGCCACCGCCCAGAGATACCTAAGTGGCACATCTTGGCACATGTGGGTAAGTATAATGTTTATTAATCTAAAAAATGAGAAAATATTATAAAAATAGAAGAAATAGAAAACCCTAGACAAGTTAAAATACAGAAAAACTTTTAAGCAAAGTTATTTGAATCAGGCAATATTTAATGTATCAAATAGTAAGCTTAACAGCTAGATATAAAGTAATTGAAACCCAGGACACTAACCATGTCAAAAGGAAGCAGGCAGCCTGGCCACTCCCAGAATCCTTTGCCAGGTTAGTGCTCTCTCATTACACACTTAGGCACCCCCTGGTTACAAGAGTACTTGTTTGGTATTGATATTATAAAAATAACCATTCTTTAAATGATTACACATAGGAAATAAAATTAGAACTATGCATAAGGATTTTAATAATTGCAATTTCTTTAAGGGCCACTTGCAACCTCTGCCTGTGTCACAGACCTGTAGGAGAGAAACAAAACAAAACAAAACAAAAATGTGCTTAATGACATGTCTACAGTGTAGCATTAAAAAAAAAAAAGATGTATGAACTTTTATCATGGCATTGACCTTAGAGTACTACCTCCAATAACCATATTTTGCTACCAGTGTGTCAATTTCTGGCATCTGTATAAAATATTTTTTAATATAAAATTAGAAGTAGATATTCTAAAACTATCTCCAACTGTTAAAAGAGGTTGGCTTCTCCCTAAATACAGCTGATGAGAAATAACTTGCAAGGTATGTATGACTCTGGAAATAATTATGCAAACTGAATTTAGAAAACTGGGGTGGATCAGGTTGCACGAATCGTGCTGCAGCTTTGAAACTATGTTCACGCTGCTTATTGGGGGGAAAAAAATGTCTGTATTGTTTTCCTAGAAGAATATGATTAGGATGCCAAGGAAAAATATCCATGCTCATTGACTACTTTATTTCATGTGTTTTTTTCTGCTTTTTACCTTAGTTGTATTTAATATTTCTGATTCACCCACCGGACCATAAACACTCGGAAAGAAGGCTATCCATCTCCAAATTACTCACAGGATTTGAGACACAATTTCTGTATGGTGTTTGCTTAATAAGCATTTGCTCGATGAAAGGGAAGAGGAGGAAGGGAGGAAGGGAGAGAGGGAAGAAGTGGGCTCAGCTGCTGTTGCACAAACTAGTCCCTTACCTGTCAAGCTATCCTTATCCCAGAGAACACTGGTTAACTCCTTTGAGGTCTCGCCTTACATAATACTTTCTATGGGCCCTTTGACTACTAGTTAAGGGAGAATTCTCCTGCCACATGCACTTACCCACCCTAAAGCTTATGTAATAATAATCATCAGCATTTTATGTCAATAATTGTTCGATGTGTGACTTCATGTATTAAGCTTATATGATAGCTATATGTGCTATTCTATGGCATAGTTCCTGATTTGTTATAGGCCTTTATTAAATATGAATCACATGGGTGATTTACTCATTTCAGTCTCTTGGGCGAAAGAGCAGTGTGCCTTTATGGTTATACAAAGAGCATCAGGACTGAAGAGGAGAACCCCATGATCTTTGTAGTCCTACAGTGGTTCAGTTATTACTTAAAAGGAGATACGATTTTTGCCTGTGATATAAAAACGACAGAACCTGAAAAAGGCAGCTACAAGGACTCATATTTTGGAGCAAAATAAGAGTAATTTTTTAAAGTAGGATTTAAACCTTTTTCACAAGTTAAGCAATACGTGTTTTTTTTGTTGTTTTGTTTTTTGTTTGTACTTTTTGGTTTATTTTGTTTGTTTGTACCTTTTGACCACTTCATCCAAACATTTATACCTTTCCACCCCCTTCACCCATTTCGCTCACTCCTGCCGCTGACAACTAATCTGTTTTTGTTCTCTCCTTTTTTTAGATTCCACATATAAGTGAGATCACATGGTATTTGTCTTTTTCTGTCTGACTTACTTCACTCAACACAATGCCCTTAGGGTTCATCCATGTCGTCGCAAATGGCAGCATTTCCTTCTTTGCTATGACTGAATAATATTCTACTGCGCGCACGCGTGCATGTGTGTGCGAGTGTGTGTGAGTGTGTGTGTGTGTGTGTGTGTGTCACACTTTCTTTACCCATTCACCCATTAGGTTGTTTCCATATCTTGGCTATCATGAATAACACTGCAAAGAACATGGAGGTACACAGGCTTTTTGAGACATCTTTGTTTGTAACCAATCAGACAACATTCTGCCTATATAAATACATGATTGTGTGTTAGTCTGTGTTATACATAACAAAAATAAATTACATTTAATGTACTGGCTCGTGACCCGCTTTTTAATGTAACAATATTATAAAACATGTATGGTGCACAAATTATTTCTTTAGGTGATTTCTTAATATGGAATTATTGGGTCCATGAGCAATTAGAGCAGAATAAAATTGAATGAGCTGCCAAAGGGGGTAGCATACTTCTCTTTTCTCGGGGTGTTCATGTGGGGGCCAGATGCCCATTTAGCAGGGGTAGTGCAGGGAAGAGACCAGCATTAGATTAGGAGAGAAGCAGATGGCTCTAAAGCTCTCTAATTTCAGTGTACTGTGATTCTATGAGGGCTAAGAACAAACTCAACTTCTCTCTGTAGCCTGCTTGAGAGAAGATACTGTGACCTACTCAGCGTTACATACCCAATTCACGTCCATGGATATGAAATTGTTCTGAGATGCAACATCTCTAGGAGCTATTTAATGGTGTCATAGAGTCCATGGTCTGCATGGTGGGAGCACTTGTTTCCATTTCACGTGTATCTAAAAGTTATTTTCCTGCCAAGGAAAAGGGGCTCAAAATCCCCACCCCACATCCTCAGGAAATACGGACTCAGTAAGGAGCCTGAGATTCACAGAACAGCACAGAAAGGAGGAAACATTATGCAGAGTCCTTGGAGGAAACCAGTTTTCTCCTTATAGGCCTGAAGACTGTATTTTTAAAAAATAAATCTCCACTTTGAGCAGTTGTAGGACAGTACCCATAATTACCTGACATAGGTACTAAGTGCCCTGGGCAAACGTACCAGAGTAGACCAGAGTAGGACAGGAAGAACACGGAACACAGAGAAGAAGATCAGCAGAACCTGCACAATGAAAGAAAAAGAGATAATATGCTGGGCCAGGAAAAAAGAAGTCTGTTAAACATAATTTCTTATCGGTTTAACCAATTTCCGGTGAAGGTGAGTTGAAATTAATTAATAGCAAAACTACATTGATAGCATGTAGTGAGCTGCAATTACACAGAAGCTAACTATGTAACAGTGAGGATGTATTCGTTTCATAATTCAGTTATTTTCAATTTAAACTTTGGTTAATTTTTAAATAAAATCTAAGGCAAAATGCCTCTTTAGATAGTGTTGTCAACGTTTACATGGGCTGTAGGAAGATCCCATGTAAATCACAGTTATAATTCTTATGTTCAGCATGGGTTAGGCAAGAAGGAAACGTTCCTCAGACTGTTGCCCTAACAAAGCTTGTTCAGGATTGAAAATATACACGTCACAGTACTGGGATGCTATCACAGTTGTAATTTAATGTCATCATCATAAAGTTATTATGAGATCTACAAGAAAGAGCAACTTTCCCCAGTAAAGGGTAACAGGGAAGCGGTGTCTTCTAGAATAAGCCATTTCAAATAAGGCAGAAAAGACATGGAGAGTGTTCTCTGAATAGCACTGAAGGTCAATCAGTTTGCAAATCAAATGGAGTTCCACAGGGTACGGTGGAAAGATCTGGGAAACACATCAACAGTGGCTAAGAATACAAATACACGAGAAGATTTTATTTTGATAGGTGCTGTGGGACAAGGCAGAGTGGCCAAAGATAACAGGAGTAAAAGACAGAATGAAGTGGTCTCACGTTTCTGAACTGAACTTTGGCATAATGTTGTTCTTAAACGGCAGCTGACTTGGGTGTCCAGCCTTACACGGCTCCCCTCTGTGAAGCAGGGCTAAATATACGGGGGAGAGCCCATTCTTTCCCCAACTTGTGGGAATGTAAGTAATAAAGGAGCTTTTGTGGGGGAAGAGACAAGCACGCGAGTGAGTAGCCATAAAGTTTAGAAATAAAGATAATTTCTTTACAGATGAGAAGAACCCTCTTCTTCTCGAATGCTATAGGTACAGGTTTATTCAGTAAAAAACAGCAACACATATCACCTGAGGCGATGTATCGCAGATGCAGGGTCTGATGTAAACGCTGCACTAAAACACCATGCTCACTGCAACTCTGACTGAACTGTTACCACAGAGGAACAATGCAGTGAAGATAGGAAATGTCATTGAACGTATCATGTTTGCTTGTGTGTACCAATAAACCATTTGTTACATACAGTTGTCCATGTTTCTAATCACACCCTCCCTGAATAATCAGAAGATGGACACTCAGGCTTGGCCACTTCTTGAGTGGTCTTCAAAAGTCACTTTAGCTATTTGAACAAAATTCATTCATTCATTCATTCATTCATTCAGTAAATATCATTAAGCAAATAAAGAGCGAATGTATAAATATCTATTAAATGTGTGCTGAATGCTTACAACGTAAAGCAGGAAAATTAAGACTAAATTTTCCCTAATAGGTTAACTTTTGGAATTAAATACATGGAAGCAAATGCTAAATTATAAATTGGAATTTATAAATTATAAAGCCTTATATAACTAGTAGAAACTTCCTGAATATTATTTTAATGTCAACTAATGGGTAATCCTTTGTGTCCTAATATGAAGGAAAAAGTTTATGTTTCAGAATATAAAGAAACGCTATGTTTTTTGTCTGAAGAATGCATAATTATACTAAAGTTGATGTAGAGTTTCGGGGTATTTAGTCAACATTTCAAAACAAGTCATTTTGAAGAAATTTGGCAGCAGGCTTTGAACAGTTGTTCTATTTTAAATAGCTTACTATGGGATTGAAGACATGCTTAATGTAATTACTAAATGTTATTTATTTTATTCTGTCAAAATTTTAATTTTTATGTTTATCATATATGCCTCCCTTAATTTTCTGGATGACTTTGCCTGTAGATAATAATTTGAAGCACAGCATAAATATAACTAAATCAACTTGAAGTTTATATTAAAAGCAGATTTCCTACCCAAATATATTACTGCCTGTTTCTCTATCTGTCACTTTTCCTTATTTTCATGTTTTATAGTGTTTTCTTTATGATACAAACTCTTTCAGGGCTCAGTGAAATAATTCCTCTCTTGATACTATCTAAATGCACATTCCTTCCGCCTCCCTCCTTGTTTTAGCGTCTAGAAATGGCATGACATTTCAGAAAAGAACATGTGACCATGGTTTCAGTTAGAAGGTAAATTGCACTTATTAATTGTGTATCCTTGGGAAGAGATATTTAATAAATCAGAGCTTGTAAAATCAGTGTAATATCACCCACACATTAAGTTGTCATGGAGATAAAAGGAGATACTACAAAAATTTAACAAATGTCATTCCTCTTCCATTTCCTCCTCTTTTTGAGACCCGTGTTTCTATATAACCTTAAAATGTCAATTACTCATAATCAGCGTTAAGGAAAAATGCAATCCTTTCATTCTAAATATATCCTCCCTACACTCACCCAACTGACTTTGTAGCTCTCTTAGATATTAGGCTATGTGACAATTTTCCCAGTTTATTATTAAATTAATGTCTATTAGAATATATGATAAATTCCCCAGGGAGTGAGATACATTATGCTACATTTTTGAAGTTCTGTGCTGAGAGCATTGATGTCTTTTGAGTAGTTTGAGTAAAGTGAGTGCTTAAGTCTGAAGTAGGAAAACAAAGGAGAAGGAAATAACAAAGTGGGTTGGGATCAAGGATGGCATGGCTGCAGGTGCCCCAATAAGCAGATGTGAGATGAACTTGAACAGCCTGAAAAAATACGCAAGAGCATCGCATGAGATGATGACACCACCCATGAGACCATCCAAGGCAGAGGTCACTATTGTTGACCCAAATAAGGACTATATAATCCTTCTTTCCTCTGCAGTGCCAAGGCCTATTAGAGGCAGCAAGCTGAATGCAAAAGCCATCGACTAATTAAGAAATAAAGAAAATTAAGCTCTGGCTTCACCAGTGAAAAGATACATCATCCCTGGTTAGTAAGTAAAAGGCAGAAAGTAATTGGCAGAGAAGTTTGGAGGTGAGCTCTCTCTTCCATTCCCATGCTGTTGTGGATGCATCTCTGATAGTTAAAGTCTGAGAACTGAGCAGCTGTAGATACACCAGAGGGTGAGCCCTTTCTCTACATTTTACTGGTCTGAGGACCATAGGGAAGAAGTAAGACCTTCGATGAGTCTCCTGACTCTCAGTTTTTCCGACTCCATCCTAGCTTCTAGAAAAAAAATTAGCCTCACACGGACATAATTCAATGACACGTGTAGGCATGCAAGAAAAAAGTGAGCCCATTAGTAAGCTGCAGTGAGAACCTACCAAGTGTCTAGGAACAAATTCCATGTAAGGGTAAGAACAGAGTGTCCTTAATAATAATATTAGCAAAAGTAAATAGAAGCCTAATAAGAAGTGAAAGACGGAAGTCCTTGTGGGATAGAAGATAAACTAAATATTTTCATTAACATTTCTGCATAAATAGAAATCATTTTATATGTTATATGCTAAGCCTTAAAGTAAGCACTTAGAATTAACTAATATTTACCAAGCACATGCTATGTGTCTGATACTGTTTGGCAGCAATTAAAGCAATGAAAAAGTAAATCTTGTCTTACTCTATGAAAACAAAATGGAATCATTTGAAAATATGCTGATTCTACCAAAATTTGTTGAAATACACTGAAGTGAGAAATTTGTAATCCAATAATGGTTGCGTAAATTTTTCAGATAAAGCATCCCACTAAAACAAGTGCAATAGTTGGATAAAATATTTTTAAAAGCCTGTGTGAAAGCATCAGAGACCTTTCAAACCAATCAAGTATTATTGGTTCCTCTAAAGATACCTACCAGTTAAGGAAGGAAATCCTGAGAGGCTGACAATCTGAAGAATGATTGCAAAAGTCTTTTAGGCTTATAGGACAAGAATCCAAGCTCCAGTATTACTGAGGAAGGTGACCCAAATGAACTCCCTAGGTTTGGGGTGGCAACTCTGAAGAGCTACACTGCAGAGGAGGAGTAAGGATGAAATGGAAATATATCAGCCTTCTCAATGAATAAAGCCCAACTTAAAATCTTTGCCATTTTTTTTGTTGAATTTCAAATAATCTAGGATTGCTAGTACCTCAGAACTTCTTTCAAAAGCAAACTAAAATTTCCTCTGGAAGAAGTTCACATCAGCCTAGGCCTCAAATTATCTTTGCAATTTTTCTATACAATGTCAACACCTAATCAAAAATAAGCAGACATACATGGTGACAAGACCATGTGATCAAAAAGCAAAAGAAAATAACAGAGAGTAGAAACAGACACACAGAGAGTTTGATGATGAACACCAAACAATAATAATAATTTAGGAAAGATATGGAAGATTTGAACAACATAGACAAACAACTCTCCATAATGAACACATAAAGAAAACTCCACCCAATAACCATAAAATACACATTACCCACTTTTTTTCAAGCACTGGGTGCTTCTCAATATTTGTTCAAAACTGGCTATAGGCTAGGTCGTTAAGTAAGTCTCAACACGTTTCAAATGATCTAAACCATCAACACAGAGCTTATTTTTTGACCCAAGTGAATACAGGATGAATACAAGATGAAAATAAAGCTGGATTTAGAGAAAACATTTAAACCTGAAACCTATATATCAGAAAAGAATAAAAGCTAAAAATCAGTGAGGCTAGTATCTATCTTGTCACATTTTCTCTCTCTCTCTCTCTCCTTTTTCTCTCTCTCCTTTTTTCCTTTTCTTTCTTTCCTTCTTTCTTCCTTTCTTTCTATGTATCTATATCTATATTTCTTAGTGAATATACAAAAAAGTGTACATACAAAAAAACCCCAACTTACAGCAAATCATACTTAATGGTGCACTATTATTGAAAGCTTTCTTTTTTAGAACAGGAATGAGACCAAAATTCCCAGCATAACCAAGATATTCTAAACCTGAGTGTTTAAAATGCATTAAT